TTGCAGCGGTGGCGACAGATGTCTTCGGCTTGGGCGGCTTATCTCGATTAAATTGTGATGGATACGAACTCGAAAACGGTTGACGAGCCAAACGCATTCTTTCACTTCCCTCAACTTCGTGTTTTAGGAATTCCATAAGCTTCTCCAGGAGGACTTCACTTGATTTATGCTTTCCATCTTCATCAGGCTTGTGATGATGACGAGTCCTTTCCCACGCGACGAAGAGATCTTCAGGTAAAGCTGATTCCACCATGGGGTACAGAATAGCAGCGCATTTATCTGTTGTGACTCCTAAAGATCCCAACGCTCGTAGTTGTGATGATAACCGAACGTATACAGTCGAAAAAGGTGTCGTGTTCCTTCCATGAGCATTTTCCAAAGTGATTGCAATCAAATCCCTTACGTACACTTCCACCAACATGTCTTCACGGCCAAAACGCTCCTTAAGAGTGCTGATGGCAAGTGGATAATTTGCCGCTGAGTTTGGAAAGGATGAAACTATTTCCTCCGACACCGATCCCTTTATCATGCAATTTTGTAGGTATTGGAACTTGACACAGGCCGAAATGGAGTCATCATCGTGGACGCTTTGAAAGGCTGACCAGAACTGCAGCCACTCCCGTGCTTCTCCTCCAAATTTCGGTAGTTCCAACTTCGGAAGTCGATGAAGATTTGACTTTCCTTCGTTCCCCCCGGAAACTATTGATTCTCGGTCTACTGTTGGTTTTGCTAGTAATTGTTCCATTTTTTGCAAAACGCCTTCAGACCTTCCAAATAGATTCGCTTGAACGATATCGACATCTTCAATTTCTTCATCTTCTCTATCCGCCTTTATCAGTTGTTCGATGAGACAATCACTGGCAATTAAGAACCTGTCTTTACATCTGAGGAGCTTTGGTCGTAGAGACATCAACATTTCTAGGCTTGGTTCTTGCTTTCCAAGTTCGCCATCTGCTTCTGCAATAACACTTTCCAAAGTCCTCTTTTTCGTCTCACAAGCTTTCTTGAGTTTGTCCATCTTAAATCCTGGCAAGGGCTCGCCACAATGTTCGGTACACTTTTTGAATGGTACACTATGACAGGTTCGTTTGGTATTGAAAGAATGATTCAATTAATCATCCTTGATATTTTAAATTTTATTCAGGATAAATATAGATATAAATATTATGTTACAAATTAATTTTAGTAATTAAAGAAGTTAAAAAATGTTCGATTGAAAAGGATGGATTGGGAAGGAAGTCAGTCCGTGTTGGCCGTCAGAATTCATAGGGCCCACGCCCGTGCTTCCCACGTGACCGCCGCCGCCGCGCATGCGCGCCGACCGTGACGTCGCCACCGTCCCTCGGCGGTGGTGTTGGTTGAAAACTGAAGATCTCTTCGTCGCGCGGGCGTGCCTTTCACTAACATAACATTTTAAATAATACTTTTATATAACATATATATGCCATAATATTTATATATATATGTGGTAATTTAAGAATCATAAACACCTGTGTAAATAATCACCACCTCTTCTTACACCCCCTACTCTAATATGGACTTTGAATAATTGTACCCAATCCTCCTTTAATCAATATAACTTTGTATGTATCGTTTTTATGTGTTCAATTAAATAAAGAGGTACATCTAGAGGGAACGTAGAAACCAAAAGGGCTTACCCCGCAAACATGAGGTCAACCGTGCGACACTGCGGCGCCAGACGTCCGATGACGTCAGGGCTTACCCCGCAGCCAATGAGGTCAATCGTCCCGCTACGGCACCAGACGTCCGATGACGTAACAGGGCTTACCCGCAGCCAATGAGGTCAACCGTCTCGACAATGCGGCGCCAGACGTCCGATGACGTAACACTTGAGCATATAAAAAGGGCTTGCCCCGCAGCCAAGTCAGTCAGTTCAGTGGATGCAAGATAGGGGACAGCAGCAGGCAGATCGTTAGCGGATGGCCCGCCGGCCGCAACTTGGTCTCTGCGTTCCCTCTCTCTGATGCCTCGGATTCCCCTGTGATTCGTCTCTGTGTGCCTTACCACTCACCACCATCACGACTGCGCAATCATCGTCTTTCCCCACGACTCAATACAACAAACCAGACCACCGAAATACCACATATATATATATAATGGCTTGTATGGGAGTATATGAAGAAAGGGAAGATAAAATATCCGGGTCAAAACAACCCCCTTGGTCACCAGATGTACAGCCTTCACTCCCTTCCACTCTTAGGAAAAATTTATCCTACTCGAAGCAGTTTAAAAGCAGCTGGATTTGATGATCAAGGGCATAGTTCGCGTCGAGGTGGTCTCGATACCAGTTGTTCCCAGGGTGGTCCTAGGACCTGATCTTTTTCCTCCTCGATCTACTCCACACGGGTTTTTGCTTCAAGTTTTGTCTATGACTGTATATGAAGAAAAAAAAATACAAGACTGAAATTGTACTGGGATCATGTTGATAAATTAAGAGAAAGGAATCTCCTGATCGTGCAACTAAAAGTTTATGATGGCTAACGCCACCTGTCGGAATAAATACCAACTAATCGTTGATTTTCAATTATATCAAAATTGGCCAAATGCGCCTTCTTGAATAATCAAGAAAATCTAATGAGTGTGTTCCAAGCTGTTAGCCCTCATCAGCCTGGTGCCTGCTGTACTTCAACGAACAAAAAACTTGATCCTTGAGGTTTTTTGAAAAATCAAGAACTGAGCATTTAAAGCCGTAAGGGCGAATACGCCAAAATATATGAAAAATAGCACAATAGTGAAATTGTCAGGACATAACAAACTTCTACTATCCTTAATGCAATGCAAGTAGAAGCTTGTTTTATGTGTAAAAGTTCGCGCTTTGGTGCTTTCATTTCCTATGTATATACCAGGTCTATTAGTATGAAACGCGAAAATGGGCGCCAGAGGCCGCTGTGCAACTTTATTTGAGCCGACGGTGGCGCTGTTGTAGGCGTTTTGTTCTTTGACTAACATGGCATCAGCATGCGTGCAGTTTTAGAAAAATTCAAATCGTGAAAATTTTCTGGAGCCCGTGGAAAATGGCGATTTCCGAGCCAAAAATTGCCCATTTGCGGGAAGGTTTGTTGTTCGCCTTCAACTGGAAGAAAAGTGCCACTGAAGCCCACCGAATGCTCGAGGAAGTTTACAGCGACCACGCTCTGAGCAAATCGCAGTGTTACAGGTGGTTTAAAAAATTCCAAAGTGGCGATTTTGAACTTGATAATGAACCACATGGAAAACCGCCCCAAGAGTTCGAGGACGCTGAACTGCAAGCTTTGTTGGATGAGGACAGTACCCAAATGCAGGAGAAACTCGCAAAACAGCTCCAGGTGTCTCAAGGTGCTGTTTCTCTACGTTTAAATAGCCTCGGAATGACCCAAAAGCTTTCCAGATGGGTCCCCCACGAGTTGAGCGAAAGGCAGCAATAACGGCGTCTGGTAACCTGCGAAGGGCTGCTCGCCAGGCATGAAAAGAAGTCATTTTTGCACCGAATCGTAACTTCTGATGAGAAATGGATCCACTTCAGCAATCCTACGCGCCAAAAGTCGTGGGGCCTGCCCGGCCAATTTCCAAAACAGACGCCTAGGCCCAATCGCTTCGGAAAAAAGGCAATGCTTTGCATATGGTGGGACCAGACCGGCGTAGTATATTTCGAGCTCCTGAAACCTGGCAAAATGGTCAATACTAGTCGCTACGAACAACAAATGCACAGTTTGAGAGAGGCGTTGAATGAAAAAAGATCGGAATGGCGTGAAATGCACAACAACCTGATACTACAGCATGACAACGCTCCAGCCCACAACGCTACGGTGGTCAAAACACCATAAAAGACTTGGGCTGGGGACTCTAACCCCACCCGCCGTACTCACCAGACTTAGCGCCGTCGAACTACCTCCTTTTCACATCTTTAGGACATGCCCTAAAAAACCAGGAATTTTCGAACTCAGACATACTCCGAAAATGACTTGTTGACTGGTTCGACTCAAAAGGAATAGAAATGTTCAGACAAGAAATTCGAAAATTGCCTGAAAAGTGGTCCGAGTGTATAGCTAATCAGGGCAGTTACTTTGAATGAAAAATCTTTTGTTGTATGGAATTGGTGAACATTTGAATTCACTGAAAATTTTCGCGTTTCATACTAATAGACCTGGTATTGTACGCTATTGCTTTATATTAAAGTGAAATTATACTAGTATCAAGTTGATATATTAAGAAAATGTATCTCCTAAGATAGCTCAACTAACTTTACTGATAGATTGCGCCATCTATCGGTATATATATCAGATAATCGTTGATTTTTCATTATTCCAGAATTTTCAGGAATACTCTTTCTTAAATAACTAATTATGTAAGCGTATTAGGCTGTTGGACTTATTGGCGTGGTAGAATCTTTTTTTTTATATATAATAAAAAAAGGGTTTTGGGCAATTCTAGAATAATTAAATATCAACAATTAGTTATATTTATTTCAACAGATTACGCAAGCTGGCAGTAATTTTTAGCTTCTCAATCAGAGTAGATACCTTTTTATTTCAATATATAAATGAAAATTTGCATTAAAATTATTATGAAATTGAATTGAAAAAGCACATGTGTGTGAATATATATTTTAAACAGAGATGTTTGCTTACTCTGATATTTATACGAGTTGAAACTTATGAAAATATATAAATTAGTTAAAGAGAAATTTATACGTTTCATTTCTGAGGCGAAACTGTGTGTGTGTTCCGAATATTAAATAAATATTCAAAATAAAACACAATATTTAACAACGGAACCAATCAACATCGATATTTAGAACGTCATATGCTTCGCTCGCAGAAAAAATATTTTCTATATATTTAAAGATGGCATTTGTCTTCGAAACTTTGTTTCATCTCTTATAAACTGGTTGTACCTAATTTACCAATAGTACGTCATTCAGTATGCAAAATCCCTTTTCTGATAATTCATTATATTGTATTATAAATTACTTTATATAATATTTACGAACGGGAAATATGTCCAGAGTAGCCTAGTGGACATGGCATCTGTCCGGTAAGTGTAACACTATGAGTACGATTCCCATCTCTGGGTACTTTATTTTTCCGTTTATCATTACTCTTCACAATTCATCCTTTCATATCTCATCCCTAAGGTTAGAAATAATCGTTATTTCTCTTTAAAATAAATTTCGATTTTTCGTTCAAAAGAAACATTTGCGGTATAATTGTCAATCTTTGTTCTATAATTCATTATGGTAAAATTTCAAAACCAAATAAACCGCTATGATTTCTAGAACAATCATATTCTTGCAAGATATTGTATACAACAATAATAAAAGAATAAAATGAGTACCATAAACAATCTATTGCTTAATCACAATACAAATTATTGGTTATGTCTATTGGAAAGGTGAATGGGTCGTAACTTAATTGTTGGGAAAAAAGAACAATTCACAATAGAGAGAGAGAGAAAGAAATTCTGGCTGCTTCTCTAATCCCGGATAAAATTTTATTTTCTTTTGTTTTATCTTCCATAGCCAATAATATTCTTCCTGAGTCTTCCTCGATCATACCATTGAAGGTTTTACTACAAGTCATTTGGTTTAACTGCTTGAAACAATTTAAAAATTCAACTCCTTCATTTACCTCTTAAATTTTATATTCCACATCTTTCTCTTAGAGGAATAAATGTTTCATTGTTACATACGACTTTATTTATTGTCTCTATATGTCATCATATATCTTGAAGAAAAATTATATAGATTTAACGGTCAACTCTTTTCAAATATTTACTTAAATTGATAACCTTTTATATAATGGGACCTATATCTTTGAATGAAAGAAATACAAGTGTATATCTTCTATATATATATAAATGAATGTTGTATGTTTGTTTGTTTGTATGTCCGGTATACAAATTCGCAGTAGTTCACTAATTCAAACCAAAATTTCCATACATAGGTAAAAAAATACGGGGAAGACGATAGGCTATTTAAAAAATATATAAATCAATTATTAAAACTATATATTCAAATTATTCTACTTAGCTCACGAACAGCGCCCTCTATCAAAGATTAGATTAAATTATGCTGATGCAAACAAATAGATAATGCTAATAACAAACAATTATTTAAAAAATCTTATCTAAATATATATCACTCGGGTAGATATGCACACGGGTCAATCCCGGGGCGAAGCCCGGGTCACCCGTCTAATTTGCATATATAACAAATTGAAACTATTTTAGACGCGTATGATATAAAACAATTTCTACTGTCCTAACTACAATGATATATTAATGGAAGGGCCTGACTCATTAATGGTGAACCCTCCTAGCGCTTTCGCCAGTTTTATCTACCATACCGCAGTAATATTGCATTGGGCTGTTTTGCTTTTATACCAATACTGAAGCTGACCTCTTGGAAAAGATATTTTGAATGAATGATGGACATAAGCTTTAACGACAATAAAAATACATATAAATATTTAACATGCTCTTTGAGAAATTGCTCTTCCGGAAACATCAAGTAGAGTATCTTTAGAACAATTATGATTTGATGCATTAAGCGCGCTAACTGTTATAAAGAATTTATACTATGCTTCAATATATATTTGAAAAAAATATATATATATATAGAATATATATATATATATATAGTGTATAAATATATTTGCATATATATGAAATGAATATATTTGCATATATATGGAATAAGAATTATTGGTATAAATATATATGCTATAATATACGCCTTAATTTTTTTTTATATGTCCGTTCTATTCGCGCCCTGATTGGCTGTTTATTGTCACTGGCCTTAATCAGCCTTTCCGCTTTGAATTCCCTAGCCAATCAGCATTTCATGTGTTATTAGCTCAGAGGAAACAGTGAAATTCTCTATATAACGAATGAAGACATTAAGACGCGAATGTTTCTTTTCACAAATAAATTAAACTTCTACTGTCCTTACTGCGATGAAAAAATATTGGGAGGGTTTGGCTTATCAGTGGTACACCCTCCCAGCGGTTTAGCCTCCCAGAGGTTTCTCTTTTAGAAATAATATAAACATTCTATATACAGTTACGAGCGTCATGCGTGGCCTCTGTCACGGTTTCCTTTTTTTTTTTTTTGGAATGGCGCCCTCCTATTAGTCGGCTACGATCATCCACCTTTGCCCCCCCATTTCTGTAACTATTGTGTTAGAGCGGGTCGCTCCTTAAATAAATGCATATATTAGTTAATAACCAAATGGAATCCTCTCTTTCTTTTTCCCAGTAAGAGACGCCTACGGAAGCCAACAGTACATATACAGATAAAGCACATAGGCTATAGTTATTAACTAAAATATGCATTTATTTAAGGCGCCAATTTATAATTGTAACAAATAGTATTTAAATCAAAACATTCAATCGGGTAAAACACGGGCGTTGCCCGGGTCATTCGGCTAGTGATGTATAAGCACATCAGTTATTGAAAATTTAAACTTTTTTGACGCCAATATTTATTTTAAATAAAACAATTTTCTACTGCCCTTAAGTTTATCTTCAGTATCAGTATACAAATCAATACAGCCAAATACAATAATAGAGCGGTATGGTATGGCTAAAGCGCTGGACGCGTTCACAAACAAGGCAAGTTTCTCCTATTATTTTTACTATTGCAGTAAGGGAAGTAGAAAATTGTTTTAAATAAAAAGAGACATATAAGGGTCTAAATAGTTTAAATTTTCATTCATAGATGGCGCGCTTATACATCATGTTAAAATTAGAATTAGTGTCATATTTTTTTTCGTAACTTTAAAGTGTGTAATTCATTTAATTGTTTGGCAGTCACAGAAATTCATTTGATCTTCTCATTTCTTGGAATTATTCAAATTGAACATTTATATAATAAAAAAGTCATATACAGTATATTGTATTTAATAAAAATATTAAAATATTAAAAATATTTATTTGCCTATAGCGCCCCCTCTTGGGACTCACCAAAATAGGATGCTATAGAGATGTGGTGCTATTTTAATCATCTGAAGATTTAAATATATACTTTGCTCTTTTTTAAGAACGATATTCAATATTGTAAAGAAAACAATAGCTTTTTAAATGTTAAGATGTATTTCATTAATATTTCAAATAACCAATTTTATTTTATATTCGCTATAAAAATGTGTTTGACTTGTTGTTTTCCTGCTTTTGGAGTCGAATTTGACTGTAAACTGTTCGCAAACCCATTAATTTTGTTTTTCCAAGCGTCCTATCTTCTCTAAACTTTCTACATCCAATGCGTTTAATTCCGATATTAAGAGTATAATTGAATTTGCATAAGAAAGAATAATTTTAGGGGTAAATTGATAAAAATAAGTAAAGCGCCATCTATATACAGCAAATGAAATCATTAAGACGCGAATGTTTTTTTTCACTCGTCAATTAAACTTCTACCGTTCTTAGTGCGATGAAATTTTTAGGTTTATTGTAAACAATTTCATTCAACACCCCTGTTTTAGGATTTAATTTGGAATCGAATGAAAAATTCAGTGACAGCTCTTACTGTTTCTATATATATATATATATATATATATGTATATATATTAACAATTGCATATCCTGACCAGGAGCACATGTGCTTTACAGAAGGCAGAGCGCCATCTGGTGGAACAGAAATCAACTAAACATTGATTTAGCCTGTTCCCTGATATTTGGCCAACCCGATTTTGGTCAGGATATGCAATTGTTAATATTGATTTCAACACCTGATCTTTTTATCTTTTATTTTTTCTTTCGTTTTATAATATATATATATATATATATAGTTGATCCTCGTTAAAACAAACCTGAGATAAAGCGCTCCTTCCCTTATAAAGAATTTGAAATAATACCCCTTTTTATTTTATAATACGATGAACATCGGCTATAACTAACCATGGTTTTATAGTGAACCACAGGTTCAGTCCCATTGAGTTTCGCTATATAGGGAGGTTTTACTGTGACTTACAAAATAGGCATATCCTGACCGCTCACATATGTTTTTAGATTTAGTGAAAGAAAATTAACTAAACGTTGGTTTAGGCCTATTCCAAAATATTTGTCGCGAATCATTTCTTGATAAATCGAGAAAATTCAATCACGAGCGCGTTCCGGGCTATTGGCCCATTTATTTCTATTTGTTACTTATTATTTCACATTTATACAGTTAATTCTCGTTATAATGAACCGAGGATATACAGAACCTTCCCAAATAACGATCCTAAAATAATCCCCAATGTTAGTAATACCATATAGTAAACCATGGCTATGGCAAACCAAGAGTTGGCCCCATGAGGTCACTATAGCGAGGTTTTACTGTAATTATGTACCTCTAGCCGAATGACCCGGGCAACGCCCGTGTTTTACCCGATTGAATGTTTTGTTTCAAATACTATTTGTTACAATTATAAATTGGCGCCTTAAATAATTGCATATGTTAGTTAATAACTATAGCCTATGTGCTTTATCTGTCTATGTACTGTTGGCTTCCGTAGGCGTCTCTTACTGGGAAAAAGAAAGAGAGGATTCCATTTGGTTATTATCTAATATATGCATTTATTTAGGGAGCGACCCGCTCCAACACAATAGTTACAAAGACGAAATAGCGAGTGGGGGGGGGGGGGGGGGGGCATGATGGGGGGGGGGGGGAGGCAAAGGTGGCGTGATCGTAGCCAACCAATAGGAGGGCGCCATTCCAAAAAATAGCAAACGGTGATAGAGGTGAATGATTAAGAGATGAGGAATTGATGACGCTCGTAACTGTATATAGAATTCTCTCCTACAAATTAATATTGTGTAATGTATATAACTGTAAATGAGCTCGTATATTTAAGAAGTCGGTGGAGGGGTGGTTAAAACCCTTGATTCCCGACAACCATGAAAAGAGATTGAATCCCACATTGGACCCTTTGTTTTAATATGTGAATAACCTTCACTTATTATTCATTGTTGTAAATATCATAAACTAGGTTGCTCTTTTTAGAGGCACCTAGTAAAGCTATTTGAAGCTCATATAATTAGGTAATTAAAAGTAATATTATAAAATATTGTTGCATCATGGCCAATGAACCTATT